TCTTGGTGTGCATAATCCATTTTTGTTTGATTGAACTTGCACACAATTCCACCATATGTATATCTTTAATGTATAACTAAAACTGCAGATCCATCTTTTATTTAATGAATATCTAACACCCTTTTGGGCACTACTCGCACGAAGTGCGTGGAAAGCTAGTTATTTACTCCGTATATAATAAGAGCCAATAAAGTTACCATCCATTTCTTTAGTCTTTTTTCTGTTATCTTTTCCATTTAAGTTAACGGTGTTATTCATCCTTTAGCATATAGATGTAGGCATGCAGCAATGAACAGTGCTAGACATGTGGAGCTCTTTTGCCCACATAAACATCACCTTGGCCGAAATTGTTATAGCCACATTTATGTTACTCCCTCCGTCCCATTTTAAATTGTTTTTTTGCTTTTTTTCTTCGTCCCAAAATAATTTGTCTGTTACTTGTTTTCGTAAACTATTAAAAATAAAATACCTAAACTACACTTAAAATAAGTCATTCTTTTTCACCTTATCTTCTCATTCATCATTACCCTTCTTAAAAAGTAATGTCAATTTTGGAAAATCAACTCTATTTTTTATTTTCCTTAAATATGTCCAAAAGTCAAAACGGGTGATTTAAATTGGGACGTAGGGAGTAATAAAATTCAAATTTAGATGTCCTTTTTTGGAAAATTAAGATTATGTGTAATTTGTTCTTTTTTTTTTTTGAAAAAATTTAGTTCTATTTAAAATTTAAGTGTTGTGTTTGATTTTAGATTGTATGAATTTAGATCTTCCGAATGATCTTTCTTAAGTTTGTTCAATTTTTTAAGTGTTCTATCTCATTCATTTGTTTGTCACAACAAGAAAGATCTTGTTGTCAATGACACTGCTTTGGCTCGATATCCTAAATGAGAGGTCACATGTTTGATTCTCAGTACGCTAACTCTATGAACTTTAATATATTGCGAATGTATAAACAGATACTACATTGTGTTGGACTTATGAGTGTTTAAAATAGACGAGAGCCTATTTGAATATAGTATAATTTTCGGCCTAGTGTCCTTAATCATTAGGCAGATAAGGAAGGTGGAGATGGACCACTAAGTTAATGGACTAGCAAAGAGAATAGTGCACTCTTTACTCACGAATTCTTCATAAATTGCAAAATTTACTTTTAAACATTAAACAATTTACCAATACCTATGAATTTTTTAGAAATTGCACGGTTTACTCCAAAACATAAAACATACTCGCAATTCCCGTGCATGGGAGCAACACACTCCCTATCTATTATTTTAGGACTAACGCTGCAATATTTTAAATTATTCAGGGGTATTTGGTGCTTTTTTTTAATATTTAGAGTGAATCGTGTAATTTTCAAAGATTTAAACAACACATTTTTTTAATATTCAGGGGGTAAGCCATGTAATTACTAAATAATTCAGGAGTAAATGGTACAATTTTCTCGATTAGCAAAGGGATAGGAAAGGAGTTGATCAATATCATTCCCAATAAAAAAGGTGCATTAGCCTTAGTTGTGTAAGTGTGCTTTATGCCTAAAAGCCTTCATATGTTTTTATTTGAAAGACTACCAAATAAAAAGCGAAAAAATACGGAGATCTTAAAGTTACCTTTATATCTCGCTCTTTAAATGAAGTGGCACACTTGTTGACACGCACTACTCATTCTGTTGAGAGTGTAGGGGAATGGATTGGCTCACGCCAAGCTTTATTTTTCATGGTTATTTAATATATGATTCTAAATAGAAAGCCACAAAATGTACTCCATAGTTTGTTTATGCATGTCACAACAAGTACTCAAAAAGGAACTTCTAAAAAGCATAAGACTAGATTAACGCTGAAAGATAAAAGAAAATGCATAGAATAAGAAGATGATACTCCGTACAAGCTATCTTTTGCTTCTTTTTTTTGTAGACATAGTGTTATTATTTGACAATGTATATACGGAGTATTCTGCTCCCAATACCTTGGGCACCTAATGCACCTTGTGCACGTAGTGCATCTCGTGCTAGTATATATATATTCGTCCGTCCGCCTTCCCTATTACTATCTCCGTCCCAAAGTATTTGTCCACTTTCATTTTTACACACCATCCAATACACTTCTTTAATCCATTTTATCTTATAATTTGTATATTAAAAAATTATAGAAATTATATATTAATAATCTATATGTTAAGACAAATCAAACAAGATCACACATGACTATATTTAGCCTTACACATTGAGAGAATTTGATGAGTCAAAGTGCTTAGATGAACAGTTTCAAAAGTCAAAATTGGACGAATACTCTGGGACGGAGGGAGTATTATACTCCGTAAGAAAGGTGCAGATACATTGGGCCTACCAACATTTGGGCCTTATCCTTCAACATAACATTTTAATCTCTATATATACAATGATGAGAGCCGAAAATGAACAGTACTCCCACCCAAATTTTTGGGTCGGGTCACTGTTTAATGGGCTCATTGTAATTTATGGTTAAGAAGCCCATTAGTGTAGAAAGTAAACTATAAAAAAACAATTTAGACCAACACTATCAGGTACGCTTCTCCGCCGGCGTATTAGGGAAGCTTCACCATAGAGATCTCCACCATCGTCTCATTCTACCGTCTATCACACCTGCTTCACAATCTTCATGTTTGTTTAGTATCAGTGGAGAAAAAATATCGAAATATCCACCAGCGATAGTGAAGGTATGTTAAAGGCTGTCCGAATTCAGTGGAGGACGAACTCGAAGGTTGTGGCTAGGTATGTTGGCGATAGATTCTGACGAGAAAGACTTAGCCTAGCAAGACCACCAGTTAGGCAGTTACAAGTCTTCTACTTCATTCTCTTTTTCTTCTTATATTTGATTCTCTACTTAATGGGCTATCTAATTTTGTAGTTGAAAAAAAAGAAAATGATTTTGGCATCTACTCCCTCCATCCGGAAATATTCTTCCCATTTGATTTTTCTTGGTCAAAGTTTGTAAACTTTGACTAAGATATGTGGAAAAAATACATTGTATTATGATATAACTTTAATATAAATATATTCATTTTGAAATATAGTTTTCAAATATCAAATTTTTATAAAATCTATCCATGTATAAATAAAGATATTAACGGTCAAAGTGTAATCTTGGAGACCGTAAAAAGTCAAATGGGAAGAAAATTTCCGGACAGAAGGAGTAAATTGCATGCTATGTGTTTGATGAAATTCCTCAACGGAGCTTCTAGGAGTATGAGAAGCGTGAGTTTTTATTCTTTTTACATTAAATAAAGATGTGAATTTTTCCTTTACTTCCGTTTCTTTTGAGATTATTTTCTCTGATTTCACTCAAAGATCCATCTATTTATCATTCATCATAATTATGTTGTGATTGTTTTGTTTACGAGATGTATGAAAAATGCTAGAAATCAATACCAACTATGGCGGCTAAAATGTTTTTTTATATCAGCAATATGGCAGCTAGAACATCGTGCAATTCCATCCGCAATAATGTCAGATCAGTTCCCCAGTTAATATTGTCTTCCGGAGATGTAGGTGGTTTTATATCCTAAAGATGGTCGGAATAAAATTTTTTGTTTTATTTTGTCAAATCTGGGCTTCTCAAAACCATAGAAATGCAAGCAGAATAGGTCACAATTGATGGTTTTGTGAACTATGCAATTTGTGCTTTCTCCACAAGTATGGTTTATAGATACTGTGTGCTGGGTATATCTTGGTCCCTATATTATTCTATGGATTGTTTGGAATCGTGTATAAACCTGGCTGCATATTATGAATGCATTTCATAACACTAAATGTAATACGACTAATTGATCTACTGTCTCCAAGTTTTTTGTTCCATTTTCGGGTTTGGGTAAATTTAGCTCTACGTTGGAAAATTTTGGGTTCACTATTACATAATGGGTATTTAATAGCGCATATTACACAGCGGATAATTGATAACAGATGTCTTTTCCTTTGGAGTAAATAAGTCTCGCGCACAAAAAAAAATTGAGCATCAAATTTTTTTTCGGAATGCTTTACCCACCAATTAAGATTTTCTCACTTTGGAGTATATATTTTTTAGGAATGCTTTACCCATATTTTTTCGGAATGGTTTACCCACCAAATTTTGGTTTCACTTTGATAACAGGTGTCTTTTCCTTTGGAGTATATATTTTTTCGGAATGCTTTACCCATCAACAAAAGGCCCGTTTGGTATTTGAAATTAACGGAATTGAAATTGAATTGAAAGTGAAATTCTATAGAATTGAATATTCTATAGAATCGGAATCTAAGATTTTCTTGTATATCAATAAAAACAATCTTGATTTCATTTTGGATCTAGCATTTTCTCACTATCTAAGGTGTGTTCATATGGTTTCATCTATGGATATTTCTCCTATTTTTGAATGTTAATTGGTGGTATTTTTTTTTTTACTTTTTCAGATCTCGAAGTAATAGATGATGAAATTTGAGATATTGAAATAATTGAATGTTGTACTTCTATTGCCAGAAGCCTCTTCGTTCTTTGTTGCTTCTATTTTTTAGGATTGATGTTTTTATGTACTCCGTAATTTAGTAGTACTCCGTACTATAATTTGGTGATGTAATTCGGAAGTGGTTGGTGTAATGGTGTTTAATTTCAAGAGCGTTTGTCCTTTGATTGTGTTGTGTAATAGTGTGATTTATGTTGAATGTAGTGAGCATTTTTTAAAATGTATATTTGATGGACAAAATAGATGAATACTCAAAGGCATAATGTATTGTTTGAGTATAAATAATCATTTTTATAAGTATGATAGTTCTCATTTTTTTTAAAAAAACTCTAAATTTAAAATATTCAGTAGTGTTATAGTTTAAAATTTTTTAAAAACAATTTTATTTAAAAGATGTAGAAGAGTGTAGAAATCAGGTAGTACTCTTGTGTGGGCATGACCAACTTAGCCGTGAGTCCCGTGACCAACTAAGACAATGGCCTATGGAATGTTAAATACGAAAACCATTTGCAAAACATGAGATTTGTGGGCAACATATGAGAGGTTTATAGACCAAATGAGTTCACATATTATTAGTATGTGATCTGTAACAATAATCCAATGCAATTGTGTGGCTATAAACAAACCCAGAAGACAAAGAATGGAGATGGAACCAATCCAAACCCAAATCATATAAATTTATTAGGCTTTTGTTTGGTTAATGGACAAAAGCAAAACAGATGCCACAAATGCATTCAAACTCTCATTCCAATTCTGATTCCTCAACCATTGCTTCAACTCGAAGGAGGGCGAAACCAAGTGCGACCCCAATCATAACAAGGGCAGGGACGATGGCGGCGATCTTGAAAATCTCTCCCGCCGCGTTGCCCGTGGCAGACAGAGCTCCTCCGCCGCCGCCGCTGCTTTTCCCCCGTGATGGGTTTCTCAGGGAGGCGGAAATCTGCGCCTCGAAGGCATGATCGGTGCTGACGGGGGCTCCCAATGTGGTGACACGGTTGTGCGCCTTCAGGCCCTGAAATGGAGTGATGGATCTCACTCTGGCGGATCTTTTCGGGGAACACTTGGTGCTCTTTCCGGCAACCGCCGCCGGAGTAAACATGGCCGTGGTTGACGCCGCCGCCGCCGCCGCAGTAGCCATTGTTTCTTGTGCGACAGAACCTGTGGATCAAAGAGAAGAAAGATGGTGGGATGTTAACTTAAATTGCATAGCAGAAAAACAAGAATCTATTAATGGAGTGGTGGTTACATATTTACATACCCAAGAAGAAATTGTGAGATGACTTTGTGGATTGCTCAGAGTAGAGAGATGATGATAAAAGAGTGAAGATGGGAGTGGATAAGTTGATGGCTGATTTGGTTGGCTCACAACTCCCTAAACTCACAGGATCAAATACTCTGGTGCCTTTTACTATATACTCCCTCCGTGCATCTAAAATATTGACCGATTTTATTTTTAATTCAATTTTTATTAATTACAGTATATGAGTAAAATTTAAAATAAAATTTATATAGTAATAAACTACATGAAAAATTCTACAGAGCTGGAGGTGACAAGACAAATTATTTTATGAAATGAGTAGTATAAATGAGCAAACAAAGTGAGCAAAAATTTGACCATGTAAGTAATATTTGGAAAGATCTATGGTGGACAGAGGGAGTACTATACAAAGTATTATTTTCATTGTTATTTTAAAAAATATTTTCAAAATTAATAACATTATTAGTTTTTTAAAATTTAATAATCTACATCTTTATTATATTGAGAGTAGAATACAAAATATTTATATTAAAAAATTGTAACAAATTATTAATTGTATTTTATGTATAACCTTGAATTATATTTTAAATCATTAATTATAAAATACAATAATAATTTAAATCATTATATTAAAAAAATATTTTAAATCTTTAAGATATGTTATATATAATGAATTTATTACAAAAAAATTTTTCTAAACAAAGGTCTTTATATTTCATAACCCGTTTAGTCGACTCGAACATGATGACACTGGACATGAACAAACAATTCTTAACCTGAATCCAAATTGACCCAAAACCGAAGTAACCCAAATTCGACCTGACCGACCGATTGCCAACTCTAAAAATATCTTTTTTAAGTCGTCGTTGGAAAAATCTAGAAGGAGTTAGAAGAAACGAGAAGAAGTTGAAAAGACTTGAAAGTTTATTTTTCCAGCATAAAAGAACAGTGCCTAAGTCCTAGATCGATGTCACTGGGATCCACGAATTGCGAGCCATACCCCTTAGTTTGGCCCGCTAACAAAACTCCAGAACTTTTGACAACATTTTCAACAGTTAGCTTTAATATTTTGAAAAGATTATCTAAGAGAGAAGTAACGTCATAGAACTGATATATGCTTAAAGTACTCAATATAGCATTGATATGTGATATTGGAACTCATGTGGATGCAACTCCAAATTCTTCCTTGCATTTCACACTGCCAAAAAATATATTTAAGTTTGTATACACTTCAAGAACATGACATAACACACTATCAGAAGGTATAGTTAAATATTGAGTGTATTGTGTATCATAACACAGTGCCCAAACACATGGACATAATACACTGCCAAAAGTGTAGGCATAACCTGACTATTCCACACTGTCAAAAAAAAGTTGGTGTACACTTCCAATTTCTTTTATTAAATGTGTTTAACCAGTGAGGAGTGACACGATAGTTCTAACTGCTATGTACAAGGAATGCGAATAACCTCCTAAAATGATGGATCTCAATTACGGAGTAATATGGTAAATGAAATAATTAAAATACTGCATTATAATAAAAAGGGTATGACTGGAAGAGATTTACGCCATAAATCATCAAATGAGTGAAAAACAATAATGAATGCTACGGAGTATATGTTTAATATTGGGTGTCTTAGAGTATTACATATGGTGATTTCTTATAATCTAACGTCAGTGCATGTTTAACTCTAGCATTTTCAAATTAGTCATGTATTCCGTATCATTTTGTTTCAATAACAAAATTATTACTCCGTATGTAGTTCATATTTTTTTCTTCCATTTGCATAAATAAACTTCAAAGTGTGACATAATAATTACACAATAAGAGGACAGAAACATAAATAAAAAAACACCATTTGATTATTTAATTAAAGAAAGAAATGTCGTCCCTTATTTATTTGTTTGTTTATTTTTTTTATGTGTAAATAATAACAGTACGTGGGACACTAACTATGCTTATTACAGTAGAGTTGATGATCAAACTCTGAAGTGGTAAATTTGGATGTTTTCAACACCAAGCTTCTTGAAATTGCTGGTCTTCCGGGTGGTGTAAAACTTTCCCCAGTTGTACGCTTTATACTTTGTAGGGTTGTCCGAGCTCAGTAGCTCGGACAACGGCTCCACCAGAGTATAGTGCGCCGGGTTGAGGAAGAAAGGGATCGAAAACCGCTCTCTCTCGGGGTTCACCTTCACCCTGTGATCCACGCTCTCGTACTTGTCGTTGCTCCACACCTAGTGATCGATACATCATCATACATATACGTCATTCATTCACCCGCGAAAAAATAAAATACACTAATATTTTAAAAATATTTTATAAAATAAATCTAATAAATTTTTTTATGTCAATATCTAATATCAGTTTTATTTAATTAGTGGTCAAAGTTTCTTAATTTTGACCAAAAACATACTCCCTCCGTCTCACAAAACTCTTTAATTTCCCTTTCTTTTTTCATCCGTCTCAAAAAACAGTTCTCTTTTCCTAATAAAAAATCATTTTTACCCCTATTAATTTTTAACTTACCTATCACATCACACTTTTTCTCTATTAATCTACACATCTCATCCTATTTTATTCATCACATCAAAGGGCATTTTTAGAAAGTCAACACCAAAATATACTCCCCTTAAATTCTTTAAAAAATCAAAACGAAATATTTTTTAAGGGGTGGAGGGAGTAAAAAATGAACAAATATACTCAAAAGATGCAACTTACTTGAATAATGTCGCCAACATTGATGATAAAAGCATCGGGGGTGGGCTTGACGAAAACCCATTCCCCGTCGGTTTTGCGTCTCACTTCAAGGCCGCCGACGTCGTCCTGAGCCAGGACGGTCAACGCCCCGGCGTCTTTGTGCGGGCCCACCCCGAGAGCCAGGTGAGGGATAGGGCAGGGCGGGTAGTGGTTCAGCCTCACGAAACTTGTCTGGTCCTTGTTGAAGAACCCATTCAGTCGATTCTCGGGCAGCCCTAAGCTGAGGGAGATGAGTCCCAACAGCTTGTAAGCCAGCTTTTGTACTTCTCCCGCATACTCTTCGCATGCCTCCCTGATAAGTTAATAGAACGTGAAATAATGGTGTGGTGGATTTTGGACTCGCAACTAGAACATGTACATATTAAAGTCAAACTTTAGAAAAAAATAATGACTTGATTCAATCTTTTTTTTGTATAATTCAATCCATATATGTTAGAATGTGTTTGTCTAAAAATTCATTCTTAAAACAAAAAAGTTTTAACCTAATTCTCGGTATGCATTTCATATCCAAAAACATGTAATCCATTTAACTCGATTATTTATCTTAAAGTTCATATTTAAGCGGTTGATGATCTTTAGTTATTGTCGTTACATTTTAATATATTCATTTCTCGGGACGTGAGTCCAATTGTAAATCGTCAAGTGATTAAATCAAAATGATTCGATTGTCTCTTAAAGGCTAAACTCAACTATAGCCTATAGGTCCTTCGACTTTATGAGTTGTGTACGATGTCTTTCAAGTTTTAAAAATCCATAAATATTCTTTCGACTTTATGAGTTATGCATGTTTGGTCTTTTAAGTTTCAAAAAACCCATAAGTAGTCCTTCGACTTTATAAGTTATGCATGATTGGTCATTCAAGTTTCAAAAATTCATAAGTAGTTCTTCAAGTACACGTCAGCGCTCCCGATGAGGTTTTTTTAACAGTAAATATTAAAAACTAAATGGAGTAGTAGCTCCATATAATACGGCGTAGTTGTACCGAATTTACTCGTATTATATGGAACTAACATTCCATTTAGCTTTTAATGTGTACTGTCAAAAGGACCTTATCTAAAAGTCTAAAGTGTCTTATAGATTTTTGAAACTTAAAGGACTAATCGTGCACAACTTATGAAATTGATGGACTTAGACCAATCGTATGGACCAAACCTGAATTCTGGGGGGAAATCCGGCCACTGGTTCTTCAACTCCTTGAGAGCATCATCGTCAGGCTCCGGCGAAACCGGAATGAAAGTCGGGTTTTGGACGGTGAAATCGAACACTTCCTTCCAGTCCCGGACATTCTTGGTGTGCTCCGTGTCGTAGTACCCGTACGGATTCACCTCGTCCCGCCTCACCTTCCCCTTCTCCTCCTTGGACTGCGCGAAGAACCTTCTCGAAGCCTCCTCCATCCTCCGCCGCGTCCCCGGCGGCACCCCGTGGTTGACCACCTGGAAGAACCCCCAGCTCTTGCACGCGTCCCCGACGGCCGCCGCCAGATCGTCAAGAGCCGACGACGGATGGAGGTTATCTCCGGCGCCGGCAGCCTCCGGGAGGGCGGAGAGGTCGATGAGGGGAACGCCTTCAGCTTCCGGCGCGGTGAGTTTGGGGCGGTGCTCCGCTGCTTGGGTGAAAGCTGACGTGTCCGCAACCGCCTCTCCCATGGTTCGTAATTAATTGTGGGAAAAAAGCGAAGATGGGCTGACGAGGAATGATGGGTTCAGGTTTTCTGGGCCGGATGGCTCTGATTAAAGTTTAAACAATCATGGGGCTTGGAACACATTCATTGAACCTGGACATTCCGTTTGGAAAACGATGGTGTGCTCCAAAATGTGGCTGAGACTAGGACACCCACCCACCAATCAACCATTATAAACAAAAATGATTTTTAGCGTTATTCACTCAATTATAATGTATTCACTCAATTATAATGTATTCGTAATATTTATTTATATATTTTTTCAACAAACTAATGCACGCAAAATCAATAGTTTCATCTCTGTTGGGCTCGAATAGGGATGACAATTCAACCCGAACTCGAGCTTAACCGACCCGACCGAGCACTAAAATATCCGAACCCGAACCGAGAATATAATAATCCGAACCCGACCCGAAATTTTTTATCCGAACCCGACATCGGGTCGGGTCGGGTGTGGGTTTATAACTTTACCCCGCCCGACCCGAATCCGCACCCGACCCGATCCAAACCCGAATATTTTATAACATAAAAGCATATCTATGGATATAATGAGCACTCCGTATAATTTCTTGACAAAGTGCTACTATATCAAGTATGCCTTTTATAATCATTTTTTATAATCCTTAATAAAAAATGAGACACAAAAAAGAGACAAAATAATTAGATTTAATCCTTTTAAAATTATTGGGGTATGTCAAATTGATTATTGGTTAAAAGTCGGGTTCGGGTCGGATCAGGTTTTTGGCTTAAAATGTCGGGTTTCGGGTCGGGTTTGGGTTTCGGTTTTAAAAGTCGGGTCGGGTTCGGGTATAGTACTATCCGATCCGAACCCGACCCGTTGCCATCCCTAGGCTCGAACCTGTGTGAACATTCTTATGAATCTTGAAAAGTCCGTATATTTCTTACTACTAGATTACTCCTCCGTCCACTGTCTTTGTCCACTTATCTTTTGACACATCATCCAATGCACTTCTTTAATTCATTTTATCTTGTAATTTGTATATTAAAATATTATAGAAATTATATATTAATAATCTATATGTTAAGACAAATCAAACAAGATCGCACATGACTTTATTTAGGCTTACACATTGAGAAAATTTGATGAGTCAAAATGCTTAGATGAACATTTCCAAAAGTCAAAACTGGACAAAGAAAGTGAGACGGAGGTAGTATATCCTAATGTGATTTTATTTTGTGCGGGTCACGGATTTGAATTCTAACCATGGAAATGTGAGATGTTTATGATAACCATAAATGTCTTGTCTGTACAAGAGATAAACTTAATTTCTAAATATCATTATTTTGAAAATGAAAATATAAATTTTTTATTTTGATATATTTTTAATATTTTAATCCTATTTTGGTTTTTTCATAAATCAATGAATCACAAAATCAGCCAATCCCACTTGAGAAAAAAGAAAAAAAAGAGAGAATTAAAATAAAAGCAGTGAGGTCCCACAACTCCAAGCAAGTAAGCAACTCCGCAGTTTGAATTAAAAATGTACCAGTAGCCGTTAAGAGATTCTATAATCGAAATCGCCACCCCAACATTCTAATAAATTGCGGAATGACCCCTCACGCAAATTCAAAATGTAACTCGCGGTTTGAATCCACGCCTCCCCTCCCATCCGCGTCCAGATCTCAAAATCTCCACCGTCGATCTCACACCTCTCTCCCCAATTTTGCATTTCAAATCCCCGCCCGGACAACAACTGCAGAGAGAGAAGTTGATACAAAGGGAGTGGGAAAGATTGCAGAGTGAGAATGGGTTCTTTATTGAAGATATTGGATTCTTGAATAAGTTCAGGTAGAAAATCGAAAGAACCAGCTCATCATTGTGTACACAAGCTACACAATTTCGCAGCTCTGCAGATTCGCAGTTCCAGTTCTATCTTCTTCTGCCAGGTAATTGTATGAAGTATAGCATTTCACTTTAAAGTTAGATTTTTTTTGAAGAAAAGAGATGAAATTTGTGTTCTTGGATTCAGAATGCTGAGGGACTTCAGATTCCTGCGTAGAAATTCGGGTAAAAACCTGCAATTGGAGGAGAGGGAGAATGTACCCGTGAACCCAGACGCTTTAGCGGGTTCTCAGGTTACTAACCCGGACTCATCAAGACCTCCATTGCACGCAGTTCAAGAAAAGAGTGCGGCGGATCAAGAAGCGGGAGCTGCTGCTAGGGTTGCCAAATTAGCTAGAGGACGCAATGACACTGTTCCAGAAAGGGATATGACAGATCAAGGAGGTGTTAGGGTTAGCAAAATAGATAGGACCCCGACTAAGCCTAAGCATAGTAGATATTTTGATTCAACAACGCCACTTAGAACTCCACTTAGGGTTGACGGTAGTAGTACCCATGGGGCACCATCACGGACAATGGCAAATATGGGTACTCCTAGATCTACTAGGAAAGCAGCTAGAACAAACTCGGAGTGCAATTCTACTCAAAGCACTCCAATGAAAAGTGTGAGTAAGCCACCGAATCCTCCAGTGTCTTGTCTAACTAACGGCTCTAGGCCTCCCGTTAATGGGGGTGTTCGAATGACCAACTACGAGGCACTGTCCAAGGGGGTCCCAACTAGCTCTAACTCTTTGGCTGTTGTTAATACCATTGATGTGCCACATTTTGCACTCAAGGAAGATCCATCTTTCTGGATGGAGCACAATGTGCAGGTAAGCTATGTTTTTCTTTCTTGGAGTTTATATAGTGTCTTTAGAGTGCTGCTAGGTAGGGTTATTCGTCAGGGTTCAGCATTTGATCACGTTGAATGGGTTCAGGTGTTGATACGTGTGAGGCCTCTTAATAGCATGGAGAAAAGTAGTAACGGATATAATAGGTGCTTGAAGCAGGAGAGTGCTCAATGCATTGCCTGGATCGGGCATCCCGAAACTCGGTTCACATTCGATCATGTTGCTTGTGAATCACTAGACCAGGTTTTGAAAAAAAAGAATCTTTGTTGTTTTGTGCTTAGTGAAAATTATTTTGAAAGTTGCTCAATCTTTCTTTGTATAATTTTGCAGGAAACGCTATTCAGAATGGCTGGTTTGCCAATGGTTGAAAACTGTTTGTCGGGATACAATAGTTGCATTTTTGCTTATGGACAGGTGATGTGTCGAACAGCATATGTTCTTGGACTGATCTTTGAGTTCATAATCTGCTATCCTTTTCTGCAGACTTAATATCAGTTTTTTTAAATATGAGTATCATTTGTATATTTCAGACCGGAAGTGGGAAGACATATACGATGCTTGGTGAAATTGAAGAGCTAGAATTCAGGCCAAGCCCCCACCGTGGAATGACACCGCGTATATTTGAATTCTTATTTGCAAGGATGAGACTGGAAGAGGAAAGCCGAAGGGAAGAGAGATTAAAATATAGCTGCAAATGTTCATTCTTAGAGATTTATAATGAACAAGTTACAGATCTTCTTGATCCTTCATCCACGAATCTGATGGTAATTGGAGCAGTCTAGAATAAACTTGTTTACTATATTGTTTCATCTTTGCATAATAAGCTGTGTGTGTACTTACAGTTGCGTGAAGATATCACAAAGGGTGTGTATGTTGAAAACCTATCTGAATTTGAAGTTCAAACAGTTGGAGATATTATCAAGCTTTTGAGTCAGGTGACTTGTTTTCTAGAGCTCATACCCTTCGGTTGCTATTTGATATGTGTATCTATATTGCAAGTGTTGATAATCTCCTTAATTTTTTGGTATTTCAAATTTTCCCTTAGGGATCATCTAACAGAAGAGTAGCTGCAACAAACATGAACAGAGAAAGCAGCCGGTCCCACAGTGTCTTTACGTGTGTAATTGAGAGCAGTTGGGAAAAAGATTCCACCACTAACTTCCGTTTTGCAAGGCTTAATCTGGTTGATCTTGCTGGTTCTGAAAGGTAGCAATGCACATTCATTATGTTTTTGATTTGCTAGCTTAGAAGTTCTATGCTGCCCTTTGCTTCATTTGCATTCACCTGACTGTTACATAGGCAAAAGACTTCTGGTGCCGAGGGTGAACGCCTAAAGGAAGCTGCAAATATCAACAAATCGTTATCAACATTAGGGTATTTTCCCACTGGTCAATCATCATAATCGATGGATGGTGTATAATAGTATATGATTAATTAAATTGACTGGTGAGATTTAATTTTGCAGCCATGTGATAATGGTTCTAGTTGACATAGCTCATGGAAGACCAAGGCATATTCCTTACAGAGATTCAAGATTGACATATCTTCTTCAGGTGGTTAATATCCAACAATTCCTATTTATCCTGTAACCGATTCTCATAATCTTAAACCGTTGAGTATTTGTGCCCACAGGACTCTCTAGGGGGGAACTCGAAAACAATGATGATAGCCAATGTTAGCCCTTCCATCTGGTGGGTATAGTATTGTTTTTTCTATCCTGTTTTTTTCACTCATGTTATCATGGTTTGTAAATCTCTTCCTTTCAGCTGTGCTGCTGAAACACTCAACACTCTAAAGTTTGCTCAGCGAGCAAAGCTCATTCAAAATAACGTATGTGTTTCGTTTTTTGAGGTGGCAATAAATGTTATATTCACTTAAGATATGTGCCAGGTAGCTCATCTTTTTTCTTTTTTCCATTTTTTTTCAAATCACAAAGGCTGTTGTAAATGAAGACTCATCAGCAGATACTCTAGCATTACAACATCAGATACGACTTTTGAAGGTGTTTAATGCTCTATGTTCATTGGGATATTAACTAGGCATAAATCAATGGATAAATTAAACTGTCAGTGGTGACTACTTGAACAGGAGGAACTCTCCACTTTAAAACGTCAGAAGACTCCGAACATTTCCCGCACTTTGTCATTTGATACAGCTGGTACTGGAGACAGAAGGCATGAAGAATCCAAAAGCATTCCGCCAGAATCAGCTAAAGAGGTGCCAGAAAAAGTTTTTGGATTAATAATTATGGAGTATTTATATTATTGCAAAATCATGAAAAAAGTGCTTGATTTTCATTTTAAACATTTCTATGTAGTTGAAATCAATGGAAGCTACACTAGCTGGAGCTTTAAGGAGGGAACAGATGGTTGAATCATCTATCAAGCATTTTGAAGCAGAAATTGAGCAACTTAACCGCCTGGTTTGCATTTTGATCACTGTTGAATTTCAGGGTCAATAATGAAAAAATAAATCTGAAATCGAAGCAGAAATTGAGCTCCTTTTTCTAAAAAAACAGAATAAAATAAATCTGCTGGTGTTGTTGGTTTCTCAGGTTTGCCAAAGAGAGGAAGATACTAGGTGCACAAAGATGATGCTAAAATTTAGGGAAGAGAAAATTCATAGGATGGAATCTCTTCTCAATGGATTAATACCATCAGATACATATCTGCTGGAAGAAAACTGTGCACTTTCTGAAGAACTCAACTTGATTCGTGCCAATGTAGACAAAAATCCAGAAGTAACTCGCTTCGCCCTTGAAAATATTAGGCTTTTGGAACATCTCAGAAGGTAGATTTTCATTGATTCATAGCAGATACACTCATGTTTTCTCCTAGTTCCTTTTTAAGCTTCCTTTCCGGGAACTTTTAGATTTCAAGATTTCTATGAGGAAGGAGAGAGAAATTTATTGCTAGCTGAAGTATCAGAATTGCGAGATCAGGTACTTCAAGAGTCTAATGGTAATGAGAATCCTTTATTTATTTCCCACGTTTAAAGGCCATTTCTCATGCACAATTCATTTTTCAACAGCTACTGCTCTCTCTGGATGGGAAGTTGAAGCTTCATAATCCCTCGGATATAGATACTTCTTCCCAGGTAATATATCTAGCACAAATCTCCTTCCTTTGTTTCTCTTACATTACCTAGAACATGCTCTTTTTTCCCTCTATCATTCTTAGTAATAAATATTTCACTATGGCAGGAATCTGCACATATCAAACAAGAAGAAACCGACTCACTCCACACGGAGGTTGGGCTCTCATATCTTGCAAGTCATAATTTGAAATAATTTAGGAAACTAGTTTCTCATTCATGTCCTGATTCTTGCAGTTAAAAGAGACTCTCTCTCAGTTAGAAGAATGTAGGTCAAAGCTGAACAGTTGCTTGGAAAAAAATGCAGAACTCAGAAGGTATAGTTTTATTGTGGAACCTTTTGGTGACCCATTGTCACATACTATGCAGTTTGTTAATAACTATCTCCGATGTAGACCTTATTTGAGTTTCAACTATCTGTAGAGAAATTAATGACTTGCACGCATCGCTTGGTGAAAGGGAATCTTCAGTTCTTGATAATGATAATGGGGTTGAAGTTATCAAGGTAATTTTGTTTGCTACAGACATACATAATGATCTTTATTTCTAAGAAAATTTGATAGAAACACAATTAAAGACAGTCTGTTACAAAACTTAAATATATTTAAGTTTATTATGACTTGAGTATGTACAAGTGCATAAGGTTCTGGACTTGAAGTCTTGATAGGTGACAATGATTATGATGTTTCAGGAATCTATATCAGAAGCTCCTCCACTCAATTACCAGTCCGTGGTTATTGCCCAGGAAGAGAAGCCAGATATAGGTTGTGATAAAATGATCAACTTGTCAGATAAGATCATTGATTTGCAATTAGAGTTGGACATTTTAAAGATTCTTCTTCACGAAGAAAAGTCATCCCACAACGAAGCAGAGGAAAGGGCACTTTCTTTGAACAGAGATCTAGAGTCAACAAAAGATCAGATTTTGCTACTAAGCAAGCAATATAAAGATGTCCAGGACGAACTCAAGGAAGCAAAGTCCATCATTGAGGCTCTTGAGTCTCAACAAATTCAGGCAATTAACGAGGCAGAGGATCTTAGAAACAGTAACAAATGCTATGAAGAACTTCTGCAGAAAAAGGAACATGAAATCTCTTCTTTAAAGGAAAAAGGCTTTTCTCAGGATCTCCCATCCTTTAATGTCATGGAAAGTGAGTATAATCCTTTACAAGCCAAGCTGAAAAAAATGGAAAATTCTCTTGAGAAGGCAAGAACACTGAACACATGGTATCAAAGTGACCAGGCGCTACAAGTTTCAAATGAAGAAGAAATGGATGTAATACGTAGGCAGGTAGAGGCTGAAACTGCTGAAGTGATTCTTTGCCTCCAGGAAGAACTTTGTCTTCTTCAGCAGGAAATCCAGGCCAGTCACTTGAAGGAAGTGGAGAGCTATGATAGGTTGAATCAGTTAGAGTTAAGAAATAAAGAACTTGAGGGAAAAAACAATCTGATTACTGAAGATAATAGATTGTTAAGAGGAGCTTATACAGAAAAGGAGAGAGAATATCAGAGTCTACTTGAAGAATGGGAGCAAGTAAACAATGATATGGAAACAATTCTCTGCGGGGGTCAAGCTTCCCTTAAGGATGCATCTGATGATCTTGATTTGATAGCCTCTTCATTTCCACAAAAACAAGCAAATCGAATATCAAATCATTTTGGGAGTATAGCAAAATACATTTTTGAAAAGGATAAACTGATAGAAGATCTCAACAGGAATCTACGGGATGTGGTTAATAAAAGAAATGATGTTGAGTCCATGCTGAGGTCTTTAAGAGGAGCAGCTTTGGTTATGACTGAAGTTCACCAGCAACAGTGTAGTGAAAAGGATGTAGAGATTGCTCTGTTGACAGCCCAACTGAACTCTAAAATGAATGCGATCTTAGAGTTTAAGAACAAAATCAAACAACTGGAGGGTCAACTCAGGGAAACGTGTACTTGTGCAACAGCAGCGTTTCTGGTTGTTAACAGGTTGTCTGAGGCAAATATGCAAAAAGAGAAGTTCTTTGAAGAGACCTGCAGTGGGCTAAGGCTTGAGCTGTTGGAACAGCAGAGACATGCCAGTGCTATGCAGCAGAAACTTGAAGAGCTTGAAGCAAATGACTTGATGGAAACACTTGAAGAGTTTAAAGCTGGTGTTTCAGTAGTAAATTCCTGCATGAATGAGCAGGTAGAAAGGCAAGCGAGACTCGAGAGAGAGAATTTAAGTGATGGTCTACAACATATGTCCATTCGGGAAGCATGTGAAATATGGGTAAGTAAGTGCTTACTATTTTAGATTATCCCCTGCTAATAATGTTCATATTTAAGCCATTTTAGCTTTAACTGATTGATCATTTTTTTCCTTCTGGCCATCTGGGTAATTCTTTTTATTAATTAAGTTTTACTGTAAGGCTGCAGACATTTGCTGATGCAAAACAACATGACGACTCCGGTAAGGATTTGGAAACTGAACACAACAAATGCTCTTCCCAAACCCATAAGATTTTAGCTGGTGGAGAGAGAGCTTTGAACGGCACAAATGGAAGAGATGTTACCATAGCTCTTCTCAAGAAGGAAATTGTATCTGCTCTTGATAGCTTGAAACAAGTGCAAGCTGAGATATCCACATCATGCATTGAGAAAGAAGAGTTCCGCAAGGCTGAAAAGCACACTCGGGATAGTGTCAAATCTCTTGTTCTTCCTATAAGTGCACTAGAAACCTCCATAGGAAATTTTGAAGGAGTCGTTAAGCTTAAATTGGAAGAGGCAGATGCTAAGCTTCAACAAATAGAACTTGATGTGGAGGAATATAGAACTTCTTGGCTTGAACAAAAAGAGGTCGACCTTGTATCTTTCTTTTCCTATAACTATTTCGTAGTGTAGATAATAAGTCATTCTTCGACCCCATGCAGGTGCCTTGTGCATTGAATTCTTGTAGAGTTGTAGTTGCTCTAATTCTTAGTATATTCAATTTGCTATTTCTGTTCATCATCACCATCCTTATCAACTGTCTTATTAAACTAGTTGGAGTTGGTGGCATTAAGTTTGAAGTGATCATGCGTTGTATAAAACTAATTAACATTATAAATTCATGCAAATGAATAGTGCAATGTTTAATGCAGGACTTTTGCAACCTTTACAAAAAGGAATTTAATTTACTTTTACTGTTACCAAAGTAATCATGAAGTACAAATTATTGCAGTTTGGTTTCTATATTTCTCAATGTAATTGAACTAATAATAATGTATATTAATTTCATTTAATGTCTTGTTCCCCTGATACCCCTTTAAAACAGCTGCTAGAAGTTGAACTTGAAGATGCAAGGGCAATTGCTGTACAGAAAACGATGGAAGCTTCCTATATTCTTGCCAAATATGTAGAGGTCCAAGACACCATGACAGATACAATCGTAACAATAAGAGAGTTGATGAGAGAAAATGAAGCCCTGAAGGTTGATAACAAAGAGCTAAAGGAAAAGGAGGTGACATTAACCAATCAAAGGGACTTTGTAGTTAATGAAAACCAATGCTTGCAGTCTGCCAACAATCTTAAGGACTCACATATTGAAAAGATGGAGAAAGATTTCCAGATGGTAACAAAGCAGGTAATGGAGTTGGAAGGTATAGTATCACAGGTCAATAGCTTTGGAATGGAAGAGTTTGTTTCGGTGGCCTCTGATTTCTTTAATGTTAAGTCTGATTTTCATGCCGCTTCTGAACTGATGAGGTCATGGATTGAGGATATCTGGTCTGAGATTATTGTCAAGGATTTTGCTTTGTCTATTTTTAACCTCTGCCACTCTGGGATTCTCTTGGAAGCAGTAAATGGCTTAAATGCAGAAAAAGGTCTGCTCCACCATGGCCTATGTGAATCGAATTCTGCAATAACTGAGTTGAGAGACCACAATTCTAAAGCTAAGAAAGAGCTTGAAATGTGTAGAATTCTCCAGGGGAAGTTATTGGATGACATTACTAGCAACTTTGACCGTATTTCTAAGAAAGAAGACGAAACTGGTGATTTCACATTAAAGCTTGCAACTTTTGAGAAGAGAATTATTGATTTACAGTCTCAAGAGGAGCTCATGTTGAGAAGATCCGATCACTTGGGATCAAAGCTGGCTGAATTGGTTAATGAGATGGACCTCAGCAACCAGACTGTGTTGGCATCACTTTTGGATCGAGAGAGATTGCTTCAGGAGAAAGAGGAAGCCCTAAAATATTCAGAAGATGCTTTTATTATGAAAGACTTTGAGGTGTTCATCCTGTCAATTAAGTTACAAGAGATGACTGCCTTCATATTTAATTTAGAGAGAACTTATAGAAGTAATTTTGATACTTCTGAAAAGATGAAGATGGAAATTGTTCTTAAGAATCTTGGTGCAGCAATCAATGAGTCAGTATTGGTTGACAGGGAAACTGAAGTATCTGTCCTGAAAGGGATAGTTGAAGAAGCTGGTAAACAACAACAAAAGCTGTTGTTAGAGCTTAATGAAAAAACCTCGATAGTTGCCCAGCTCAGAGACAAGAACACATCTCTTGAAGAAGAAGTTCATTCACTGAAGGATATTGCTTGCTCAAATGAAACATTGAAAAGCAAACTTGTTGAAATAGATGGAACCAACTTCTCTTTGCAAACACAGGTTCAGAGCCTTAACTCTGAACTAGAGAAAGTAAAGGAAGAAATGCATATTAAGGATTCAAACCTTGAAATTTCTTCAAGTCAACTCTCTGACGTTTGTAAACAAAACCAGATGCTGGAGAACAGGATTCTATCACTGGAAGAAGCATCATGTAGGCTCCAGAAAGAGCTGGAAATGAAACATACTGAGCTTACAGAAATGAACTGTCTTGGTAATGAGAACAATGAACTTCAGGTTGAGCTGATCGGATGGAAAGTAGAAAATGGTGAGCTTCTTCAGGACTTGGAGGTTTTGAGAGCTGAGCTTGATCGGAGCAACAGAGCTTTTTCTTTGCTCTCAAAGAAGTCTGATGAACTAGAAAGTTCATTTCAAAAGATATGCAATGTAGTGGACAGTGTACCTATGTTATTAGAAGAGTTTGAGTTATTAGAGAATCTAGCAGAAGAGATTGTATCACAGAATCTTACCCTTGGAAATGAGTTGTCTAGGAAGGATGACATTCTTAAGGGGTTGCTGTTTGATCTGAGTTTACTGCAGGAGTCAGCCTCTAATACTAAGGATAAAAAAGATGAAATTGAAAAATTGGTGTCATCTTTGAATGCTTTGGAAAGAGAATTGGAACTAAAGTCATGCGAGCTTGATGACACTCTTTCTAAGAGTTTTAAACTTGAAGCTCAGTTGCTGGAGAACAAGAGCACAATATCAGCTTTGGAGTCGGATGTCTTGAGACAAAGTAAGGGTGTGGAATTACTCTCCAGAAAAAATGACGAGCTATTAGCAAGCATCAAGGCTATCACAGAAGAAAAAGCTTCAATGCAGGAGGAATTAATAGAAAAGAGTAAGTTCTGTGGAAACTTAGAGAATGAACTGTGTGAAATGGGATCTGCTATCTCGGAAATGAACAACTCTATTGAGTCTCTAAGGAGAGAGTTGAGTCATGTCACTTGTGAGAAAGAAGATCTCAATGTTGAACTTGTTGCTTTGAAGAAGGAGCTTGAGATAGCAAAAGCGCTTGCAGATGAAAACGAGGCAGGTTCTCTAGAGGCTAAAGAGGTAATAATACGTGTTTTTTTGCTACTAGCTATGCTTTAATTAAATAAAGAGTTAATACCCATTTACTCTCACTAGACAATTACTCCGTATTAAATTGATTATAAGTTGCATAGTCGAATAAATAGAAAGTTAAGTTACCAAAATGCATAATAGTATGTAGTTGACTGACTAGATCAGGCATTAGCTCCTAAATTCTGCATCAGCTCTTGCTACAAGGTTTGCTAACAGATACTTGGTTGATGTGCAGCTAGCAGAAACTAGAAAACTATATGCTGAAGAGAAAGATGAGGAGGTAAAACTATTAGAGCGGTCTATTGAAGAGTTAGAATGCACAGTAAATGTGCTTGAAAACAAGGTACTAAATCTGTATCAAATTAATCTATCTGTGGTGAAACAGATTCCTCTCTCATCACACATCCAACTTTTTGAAGGTTGACATTGTCAAGGAAGAAGCCGAACGGCAATGCTTACAGAGAGAGGAACTTGAAATGGAACTGCACAGCATCAAACAACAAATGCTTAGTGTTAAAAGCAGCGACAACACTGATGTAAAAAGGTACATTTTCAATATTTAGGTTAGTTAGTTGGCCAGAGAGAGAGAGAGAGAGAGAGAGAGAGAGTCATTCAAAGGTTTCTGATTGTTTACTATGTGCCCAGAAATTCAATAGAAAAAGAGAAGAATCTTCTACAGCGCATCCAAATCCTTGAGAAAGAAGTAGCTTTGAGGGATGTTGAAGTGAGTTCATATTTTATCTTGTCTTACACTTTCTTTGGGAACTTTCTTGAATTGTCTTGTATACTTGATTGGTTTTCAACAGATTACTCAGTGCAAGGTTCATATATCAGAACTGAATTTGCATTCTGAGGCACAAGCCCGTGAGTACAAGGAAAAGGTACTGAGTGTGGCCGATATGATTTCTTCTAAAGATGCATGATGTGTTTGTTTGGATAAGAACCGTTAAAAACATTTTGATTTCACAGTTCAAGACGTTGGAGGCAATGGCCGAAAAAGTGAAGTCAGATGTGCATGCCTCCATCCAAGGCTCAAACTCATCATCATCATCGTCTAGCAAATTGGAGAAAAATAGCTTGACGAAGCCCAAAGGTTCTGGTTCTCCTTTTAAATGCATTGGAATAGGATTGGGCCAACAATTGAAGTCTGAGAGGGATGAGGAACTAACGGCAGAAAGATTTCGGATTGAAGAACTTGAGGCTCTAGCTGCTAGCAGACAAAAAGAGGTAACCTGTCAAGCTAACATAAGCAGCTTTTGACATAGTCATTGGGCTGAAATGGATGTTATCAAACACTTTTCTTTTCAGAAAATTAAGCACATATCAACCCTTACCAAACAGGCCCTTATTCTTTAGATCGTGTTTTTATAATGCAGATATTCATGCTGAATTCAAGATTAGCTGCTGCTGAAAGCATGACCCATGATGTGATACGTGATCTGTTGGGTTTAAAACTAGACATGAATAAATATGGGGTAATTGTACTTTTGTCGCTTTTATGATTAAAAGACATTCTGATCCCATCATATCTTTCTTGTTCTAAGTGTTTTTTTTTTGCTTTTTTTTACTCCCTCGCTTAAAATCAGACTTTGCTCGATAATCATGAAGTGCAAATGTTAACAGAGAAGGCTCAAGCTCAGAAAGTAGATGCACTCGCTAAGGTAAGTTAATTTTTTTAGTTATTACAAAAAACTATATGGCCAACAGGCCAAGTTGAAGCAACCGTACATGTGATTTTCAATTCAAAGCCATGTATGATGACATCTCGTATTTGAATTTCTGCTTTTCAGGAGGAAGAAGTTACCAAGTTGAAACAACAACTAAACGAAATTATTGAGGAGAGGAAAGGGTAAGTTCTTGAAGTAAACCTGAACTAAACACCTGAATATTAGAAACATCTTCTCGCGAATCTCTAAGTGACTTCAGTTCTTGAATTTGTAGATGGCTTGAAGAAGTTGAGAGAAAACAAACTCAGATGATGGCTGCAAAGGTTTCACTGGAGAAGTTGCACGAGCGGGATCAATTGCTTGCAACTGAAAATGAAGTTATAAAGGTAATACAAGAAAAACATAATGCCTTTGTATAATGTTGCTTAAAACTAATGCTATTCCCAACAAACCTTGTTAATCATGTCTTAGAGGGAGAACATGAATCATAAGAAGAGGGTTATAGAGCTTGAAGCAGAAGTAAAGAAGCTGTCTGGGCAGCAAAACCTCCAGCAGCGCATCCACCATCATGCCAAAATCAAGGCAAGTAATTTGGGTCAATTGATGTTGAAAAGAAGTCTCTTCAATCTTAATAATGAAAGAAAAGTGTGATCTTTCTTAAACAGGAAGAGAACAACTTACTGAAGAATCAGAATGATGATCTTACTTTTAAGCTTAGGAAATCAGAAGCAATTCTTTCACGTGTTCGGGAAGAGCTTGCTCACTTCCGAGCATCTAATAATGGGAGAATCCCTTACATCAATTTGGATGATGAGAATCGGATGGAGACTAAACTGAAGGTTTTCATTTGTTTACTGTTTGTTGTATGTGTATTATCAAACTCTTGGTAAAAAAAACCTTTTTCAGCTCTATCTTTCTAACTACATAAGCTTGTTTTTCCTTTTTCTTCTTCTTTTCTTTCAGGATAGAATGAATAGTGAGAGGCTGACCGAGATGATGCCCCACGTCGCTTCGTCGGGTAGAAGAAGCTCAATAAAGGCAGATGATGAGAATGGTCAAAATCCAAGTAGAGCATCATCTTCTCAAACACCATTATATCTCACTGCTTTACACAGATGATGATGAATCTACTCTTCTTAGTCGTGACTGGTTAGCTTTGCGCTAGCAAAATGTTGCAAGTATTGGATGGTTCTTATTGCATGTAAATATAGATGATTTTGTACAAGTAATGCATCCACCACAAGAGCTTCTTGTCTGTATGATCTTCCATTTGTATTTTGTAAATATTGGCAGATGTGTATTTATGTAGCAATTGTTGTAACTATGTGGATATCAGGTGACATTTTTGAGCTTCTTTTTTAGATTTCAATCCAGATGCCTTGCTTTTAATTGGTGTTTACACTGTGTTTGATTGAAGTAATTTGGAAGGAAAAAATGTGGGAAACAAAGAACAAATTTTGATGTTTGGTCATAAAGGAAAAGATAGAGAAAATATAAAGTAAAAATAACAAAGTAATTTTCCGATCATCCCACTCCCCCCAATCCACATTCCACACCTTCCTCCCTTCCCTCTTCGCTTTTCTACAACCAAACAGAATTATTGAAAAATAATGTTCTTATTAACAAAAAGAAATTATTAACCTTTATTTTCTTTTATTTTCTTTTTCTTTTCTAAGTATTTTATAACATCCTGATTCCTTGAATGAGATGGAGAATTTTTGTTTGAAGGAGAGTTTGATTTTGATCCTTTCCCCTATTCGAACCAAACACATTGCTAATTTACATTTATAACTCTTTTCACAACATAGATTAATTTGTAGTACTATCTTTGTCTATAATTTTCTTTGATGTTTGACTTGGAATAATTTTTTATGAAGTAAAATTTATACATTTGTAGTTTGTATCGAGAAAAAGGAAATAATATATGGAGAGGATGAACAACTTTTTCCTTAAAGGGAAAGTGGAAGGAAATTTTGGGACAAATCAAATAAAAATGTAGGAAGATAAATACGGAATATAAGATATGAATATAATTTAATCTTCTATTTGATTTATTAGTATAAAATTTCTTAATTAAATTGGATAAATTTTAAGCATCAATTACTTACAATTTATGAAATAAAATTTTGAAATTATTTTTATACTAAAATACATTACATTTTTTTTTATTAAGTTTCAAAATTTGTTGAGAGTGAAGGAATACATCCGGAGCCAATATAAATAAGAGAGCAACTAGAAATATGCACAGGCAGCAGGAGAGGAGAGGATTTCAAGAGAGAAAGATTCATCAATGGCGACCACCCAATTTATGACTTGCTGCTCTCACTCCCAATGGAAGAAGATGAGCAATATCACTCCGCTCAAGCTCAATCTTCCTTTTGCTCATTTCTCCCAGGTAATTTTACATTTCTTTTACCAGTTCAATTGATTGTTTCCCCCCTTTCTCTCAAACAAGAAAAATATTTGATCTGATAGTCTTTTTTTTTAATTCCATTAATTAAAGAATCTTAATATTCAAAGAATCATGTTTTCTGTGTCTTAATAAGAATGATAACATGGATTAACCACTGCAGGGTTTTGGTTCAGCAGTCAAAACTCGGGGGTACATTTTAAAGTTCAGACCTTTTAGGGCATCCAATGATGCCAAGACAAGAACTTCTGGCTTGATGAACATGGCTGCTGCTGCTGCTGCTGGGGATTCAAACGAAAGAGGGGGGATTTTAAATTTAGATGAAATATGGGGCAAGGTTAGAAAACTGTGGGATAATTCTCCTCAGCCTGTCAAAATCTTCCCATGGAACAGTGTTCTTGACAACTTCATTCACCTCATCCTAGACCTTCTGTTGTCTGTTGTCAAGTTTTTATGTGTGCCTCTACTTGTAGTTTCCTCGTTGAGCGAGTTTTCTTATTGTGCACATGAACACAAGAGTTTTCTCATCCCGTTCCCGTTTCTGGCTGGTGTTTCTGTTGCTGGGATCTTAAATTATGCTGCTCTTGAATCGTCTCCGTCTCTCAAGGTGAGATTATTGGTCTACCGTCCACATTCATCAAGTTCTTAATTTATGCTTTTCTCTACACTTGCTTTAGAGGTGAGCAGAAAATCTATGAATGTGTGGAATCAGTGAAATCCAACCTGGTTTGCCAGATTGGGCTGGATAAAAGATCTCCCGGATTGGACGTGGGTTAGGGGTCGATAAAATTCCAATCCAAACACACAAAAATACCCATTTAACCTTTTTTTACATGCCAAGTAGGCATTGATTCAAAGTTATGGATATTGTTTTTTTCATACTGTCAAGGACTCAACTCAACCAAAAGCTCAAGCTTCTGGTTGTAGACCCCATATAGGTTTTATACTCGAACACATGCAATGTATTGATAGTGCTTTTAAAAGTTATGAATGTGTTGAATATTTTTGCTTCTATTGAGTTATGAAACAATTTGCCTTACCCCAAGCATTTTTGTCTATTGTTTAGTGTTAAGGAAGTGGATTGTATTGGTACTTCATAGGTCTCTTAAAATACAGACAACCTCTCTACTTCATTGTAGGGGTAAGGTCTACGTACAAACACCCTCCCCACCCAAACTCTACCTTTTTGTAGGATTTTACTCAGTTTGTTGTTGTTAAGCGGATGATATTAGCCTTTTTTTAGAAAAACAAATGAATAAGGTTGCGTAATACTCATAGATGAATGTAATGAAACAAATCAACCAATTTGCATCCCTTTGTTATTCTATGTGTGTTGTATCTTACTGATACATATTTCTGCATTGTGATTGGTACTTTCAGAGGGCCGAAGTTCCATGGCATTTGATAGCCATTGCAGTTGTGTTCACTCTCCTGAAGTTGCCCGGACCATATTACCCATATTGGGGTCGTATTTTAATCCCACATTTTGCAAACGGGGCATTATATAGAACGGTATGGCTCTTTTTCCTGTGGTACCGAAGTCCATCAAGAGAAGAAGCCCTGCCTCGACCTGCGCTTGCTCCTTCTCAACACAACATGCTTTAGCTTTATAACATTAACACTCTTTTTATGAGTTTAGTGACAAAGTTCCATTGTATTAGTTTTCATCTGAAATTTCACATGTTTCAAAGAGACATTTCCTGAGAAGGGGGGCCTAATTGACATTGTAAAGTAGAGTAGTTTCTTTTCATTGATTTCTTCAAGCATTTTACTGACACCTGCATTTACATAATTCAGTTTCTTAGTTCAGCTTTCATGTTTTCTCACCTTTTTAGCTCTTTTAATTAGGAACTGAAAATTGTTTTGTTAAGTTTCCTTTTGCTTTCCACAAAAAAGTGTTTTTTTTGTTTCATTCTTCCAAGTCTTGAAATTTTCTCCCATTTTCTTTTACATCGTGTTTGGTTCAAGAAATTTGAAAGGAAAAAAAAAATAAAATGATGGGGAAAAGTGGAAGAAAAAGAAAAGAGGTAGTAAATTACTAGTAAATTACTACTCCACTGATTTATACTCCATTACTAAAAAAAAAAAGCTAGCATATTACATTGCAATCTAAACGGGATAAAAAAAATTGTTACTCTATAAAACAATTAATACAGTAAAAGAAAATTTGGATGGACAGAAATAGATAAAGGTGAGCCTTGAGAGTTTTCTCCCAACTACTGCATTATACACACTCAACGCCACACTGGAGGACATCAACTGGTGCTGCCTGAGAGCTGCTCTCCAGAAACACCACTCCCATACGACACCGAACCCGTGGTGTGTGAACTGGTGGGCGCCGCCATGGACTTTTGGAGCTGTCGAAGCCTGAAAAGATCTCTGGGCACCGGCTGCTGGCTCCCCATTGTGTCATTATCATCATCATCTTTCCCTGCCATGCCACAGCAACCAAACGGTCTTTTTAATGATCTTCCATCACAGGAAACAAATATATAAAAAGAATTTCAAGGAAGGAGGTCGAACGTACTGTCCAAATCTTTCCTCTTTCCAGATCCTCTGTCTCTTGTTCTTAATCTGTTTGATGAATCAGACCGGTCACCCGTGGATGGAATGCTGGTCGGAATGTTGCTTTGTAAGCATACAGATATCACAAAGTCAGCATCAGGAGATGGACCTGCATTCCCCACCATCATTACCCAATAATCAGACACCATTAATTCACAAACTCTATAGAAATATATGGTGAGCATTCATTCGTTGCTTAACATAACTTTGATCAATTAAAAAATTTCTAACATCTTAAATATTATGGTATTACGCGTGGTTATATTTTCCCTGCCCAATGCCAATGGAGCTGAAAGAGTCATTACGGACAATGTTTTAGTTTTGGGCAGGAATAGCCTCTCTATTTTTGCAGGGGTAGGATTGCGTACATCTTGGCCCCCAAAGACCCCAATGGAGTTGGCTTTCTATTGGGTTTATTGTGGTATTTGGTTATGTTTTCGAGGTGAATAAACATGCGGGAAAGGGAAGGGGAATTCGGTTTAAAAGCATACCCTCAACAGCTGGTAAGTTTAATGCAAATGCTGCAAAGGAAGGTGGCAATGATTTCAGGAGATCACCAAGGGCATTTGGTGGCACATTACTGCTTACTGGAATTGGGGCAGGCAATGTTCCTGAAATTGGTGATTTTAGTGATTGATCTGCAAAATCCACAGCATAAGAAAGAAAGACAGAAAACACAAGCACTCGAGATAGTTGCGAAAATTCACAAAAATGGTGTGAAATATCTTCTTGATCCCAAAGTTTTCTTAGCCAGATCCTCAGCAACAAGAGGAGAACTAATCATGTCCATAAATATGATAAACTCCATGGACTATTGACAGAAAAAGTGATTTGAATAGAACAGTTACAAACAATTGCTCTGACTACTCGAAGGGAAATGCATACGTGATTACACACATTAGGAATGGAAATTTAAGAAGTTTGTTTTTTTAGTTATGTAAAAATGGTAGAATGGAAGTTGATCCATTGTAGCCATCACCTAAGTCCACCTTTCAACAAATTCATTTACAGTTATATTGCTGTTGTAGTTGAAGTTGAACTCGTCATTTTTTAAGCACAAAAGGTTACAAAAAGCATGATTGTATAATAAGATCCCAGCACAAACACCTGGTATTTGCTTTGGATTATAAATGGCCATTTTAGAAGTATCCGGATGCACAAGCTTGGCAGGGTTTGCATTGGGCATACTCACATCTGCATTGAAAAGAAGAATTACATAAAAGATGAATCCAACCATCACTGCAAAAATACTGATCAGCAACAGAACTATATGTAGAACCTGCATCAGCAGCAGGAGTGGATTTGTCAACCTTCTTATTCATGTTCCTTACAAGCATCTAAAACACGGCAAAGTAAAAGACTATTTTTCAGAAATAGTAGAAAGTACATGAATAAATGTCTCTGCATGAAAATAACCT